GAGTAAACAACAAAATAGACATAACAGTACTATCGAGTGACACTGTATGGGATATGAACAAACACATGAGGCGTATAGATGAACGAGCGTTCGACTCAACTAAACAACGCCACTTGACTAAAATAAATCATCTTGTAGAAAAATCAACACAACATCAACACAGATGCAGCTCGGAATTTTATGTATTCTATGCTAATAAGTGGGTAGTCAACATCTATAATAAGGAGCTCACCAGTAGCGAGAAAACGTTACTTGCTAATGGTATGAACTATGCCATCGTTCCAGATAAATCCCAGGTCATGATTTTGTTATAGCCACAGAACAGGCATGTAAGAAACTAAGCTATGCTGAGGCTGGTCCATTGGTTACAATGTTTCCAGATTATTAGAAGAAATTCTTAGACCGCTTTTTGGGAAATCGGAACACCGTGTAAAGAATTCGAAACATCTAGCGGAATTTATGTCTACCATCATGATTCAGGAAGACGAAGAATTGATATACTTGATGTTGTCTCTCTCTTTACCAACACACCCATTGACGACGCACTTAGGTAGCAGTGTACAATAGTGTACGGTGGCCATGTGTGATATTTTCATACAATGAATAACCCCTGTAATTTTACATGTATCAAAATTAAAAAACAAAATCAGCACTAAAATTGGCATATACATGATGAACTGGACTATGTGGGATTCATAATTTTTCAAAACAAAAATTTGAATTTGGTTTGAGACTACAGTTTTGGGAATTTACCAATCTGCATGTATCTACACAACAGAAGCTAGCTTTGCATGGAATCTATTTGTGTACTCAGCACATGTATAAATATTGTGAAAAATCCGCCGGAATGACCTATGCTAAAATGTTAGTATTTCTGTTACAGAATAAGCGATATTTAATTTCAGGCAGGTTTTAAGAAAACCATTTCTACTTGTGGGGGTCAAATTTTGGGTCGAAAATCATGTTTATTTAGCATTTTTGGTGTTTTTTGATGTGGCAACCATGGTTTTCACAAGTCCCAAATCTCGGGAAAACAGTTTTTGAAAAAAAAGCAGTCTTTTAAACAAAATGAAATCAAAACGTAGTTTATAGATATATAGATATATGTAGGTGTGTTGTGCAGGATAAATCCACTATCCATGTTTATCTTAGACATGCCTTTTATTTTAAGAATCAAGCTGGCTGGGGTATATATATTAATTTTTCATCATATTAATTAGATTATGTTCAATTTTACAATGCGTATCTCATAGTATTACAGTGACCAATAGACTGCCAAGAATAGGTATGGCCCTAAGGTTACAGAACAGGTAAATAACATGTTGAAGAGTGACCGGAGTTTTACCTGGTAAGCCGTGGATGACATAGAGAGCCGATATATAAAGATTTTGCCCTTAATACGGAAACTAAAATGTCTTTATTGAATTATGGGTGTGAAGTTTTGGGACATAATGTATCGCCACAAATTTAAAAAAAAATCCATCTCCTTTTTCTCAAAGACCAATTAAATGTTAAGAAAAAAGTCAATACTTCTATTGTTTACTTTGAAACTGGGAGATATTCATTATATGTGCAACGTAAAATGACCATAATGAGATATTGGTTAAAAAAAATAATACTAGTTACTGTGTTTTAAAATCATGTTACGACGCATTAGTCACATTGAATATCAGAAAGCCTAATTGTAAAATTAGTTGGGATTAGCAAATTAAGCATGAACTATNCTTTTCAAAAGTGATGCCATGTAATTGTGACGTCACCAAGTTGTTCTTTTGAACGTGAAGAGCCCTGTGAAGGGTGGAAGCAACTGGTGTTTTAGTCGGTCGTTAATTCTTTTTTTTTCTATATTGAATAACATATATGTATTTAAAGTGATGACTGCCCGACGTCGGCCCAATAACGGCATATTTAGTCGATAATCCATCCTTTAACCGAGATCGGCCCGATATCTGCGTGCTGGCTGGGGTATATATATTATTTTTTCATCATATTAATTAGATTATGTTCAATTTTACAATGCATATCTCATAGTATTACAGTGACCAATAGACTGTCAAGAATAGGTATGGCCCTAAGGTTACAGAACAGGTAAATAACATGTTGAAGAGTGACTGGAGTTTTACCTGGTAACCCGTGGATGACATAGAGAGCCGATTTATAAAGATTTTGCCCTTAATACGGAAACTAAAATGTCTTTATTGAATTATGGGTGTTTAGTTTTGGGACATAATGTATCGCCACAAATTTAGAAAAATCCATCTCCTTTTTCTCAAAGACCAATTAGATGTTAAGAAAAATGTCAATACTTCTATTGTTTACTTTGAAACTGGGAGATATTCATTATATGTGCAACGGAAAATGACCATAATGAGATATTGGTTAACAAAAATAATACTAGTAACTGTGTTTTAAAATCATGTTACGACGCATTAGTCATATTGAATATCAGAAAACCTAATTGTAAAATTAGTTGGGATTAGCAAATTAAGCATGAACTATGTAGTTTGGATTTTAATTATTTGTGGACTTGCCAATATGTACAAACGAAAATCTTTTTTTTTGCAAATGTATGTTCAACGTGTTCATGATGTATTTATCCAAGAATTACGCAGTGCTTTTGATGCATCTTCAAAATGTTATTTGTACAAACATATTGTTGATACCTTTTGCGTCCAGTTCTATCTGACTAAGCCCATTAATTTAAGGGTAAAAAAGTTATTGAGTCAATTTCGCAAGCAAGCACACAGTCTTAACATAGAATCTGGTCGCTATAATAATATTCCAAGAGAATATGAACAGTCTGCGATAAAAATGATGTCGAAGATGAAGTACATTTTGTACTACTTTGTCCTGCATATTCTGATTTAAGAAAAACATACATCAAACAGTATTATTACCGACATTCAAGTGTGTATAAACTAAAAGAATTATTTTCCTGTAAAAGTGTTAAATCTTTAAATAAACTGGGTAAATATTTGTGGCACGCTACTGCTAAAAGGAAAATTATCCTCGCTCAGTAGTGATATTATATTAAAATATAATTTGAAACTACTTTGTTATAAGTGTACATGTATAATAATAGTTATTTAATATTCGTTAATAGCGCGTTAAATAATACTTTAATGACATCCCATGATTCTTTTTGTCTGTTTGAAGTTATATGTAGTGTTTTCATTATGATGTCATCATTTCATGACGTCACATATAAACATGTAGTAACGTCACAAATATGATTATATTGTTATATACTTTCCTTTTCACAACTTTACGAAAAATCATGCTATAAACCTGCACGTGATATCATTATTACATATCTGTAGGCATATGTATAATTAAATGGAATTGTCCTCCGCCATCTTGTACATCACATATGAATTTTGAATATTTAATTATGAATGTTTGTAACCTATATGCTGTATTGCATTTGGATATATAATAAAACTTTTTGAACTAAATGATACCGTGGATTTTCTCACCTTGCCGAGGTACGGGATGGGGAAAGTTACAATCCAGGTACATGTATAAAGTGGCCTGTACATGTTTACCTGTATATGAGACGGTGTCAATATTTGTTATGATTTTACAATCAATCAATCAAATCAATCATTTATTTTATTTAAGCGTCACAGGTCAATACAAACATTAAAACAGGTATCTGAGAAATTTAACCATAAAACTATATTAACATCCTACCATCAATGACTTATGAGACACTATCAATCTTTAAAATTACTTCAATAGTCCATACCTAAGAAATTATTAAATATTACAAAAAGGAAAAGAGAAATTAAGAACATTTCCTAAATTATAGGATATATATAATAAGTAAGATTAGAAAAATCCTTATATACAATTTTAAAACATCCTCCTTCAGTGTAACATAAAGTATAGAGTTTTTTCCTAATGAAAATTGGATATTTGGATTGTCCATTAACAAATATAATTTTCCATTACTATCACACTTTTTGAAAGTATCACAAGAGTTGTCCATCTGATGAAATAGAAATAGTCTTTGGTCACTATACAAAGAACAGTCGCATAAAAAAATGAACTTCAGTCTCCATTGAGTTAGTGCAGAAAAAACAAAACCGCTCATGTAAAGGAGTCGGGGGTCTACTATATCGACCAGTCTCTATCCTTAAAGGAGAGCACCACGGTAAGGTTCAGGCATATTATGTTTAACATAGTGTTCTGGTTTTAAATCTTTCTTGTATTTCCTGTATGTCCGCAATTTGTTTCCATTTACAAGGCCCCGATCGTTCCAAAGTTGGCCGAACCAGTCACTTTCGTCCTTGTCTTACATTAGTTTTAATGACATTTAAAGTGTGGTCAGTGGGTTTGACTCCGGATTCCAAAATGTTACGTAGATTATACTTTTCACTCAGCCGAAGTGCTCGCGCGTCCCACGAATTATGTCTCCGCTTCGACCAAACATGAATTTTGTATAATAAACGTCCGTGATCAATAAAATTAACACGGCAATATAGACGAAAAACTTCAGTACTTTGTTTTACATGTGTAGATTTGGGTCGTTAAAAAAACACCGAAACACCATTTCTTAATTTATTTATTTTTATAAAGATCAGCTAATTAATGTAGCTAAAACATAGAAACACACTTGAAAATTCAAGTTTAAATGTTCAAACACGAAACCGTATCATATTGTTGAGCCATTCCTCAATTTATACTAACCACGATTGTCACTATTAATTAGCGTTCGTCCATCGTCCGCACAAATGTACACAAGCAACAATCGTCTAGATTGTCATCGTTTGTACATCGTGCACACATCGTGCGCACACCGCACATCATGTAACGTTGTACGTTCCCACAACTGTACTCTGGATACTTCTGTATCGCTAAAATATGTTCACTACAAGTGATAATGAAATGTACTACAGTGAATGTAGTTTCTCCCTCCCTTCACAGGTGTGTCTCCCATTTTAGCCGGGAAAGATCAGCTTTTCACCCCCTATGAAATAATAGGATGGAAGAAAAACAATCATCCCCTACCTTGAGGGTGTGACAGAGAAATCTCAATCGCACCCTCAAGGTAGGGGAAGATTATATTAATCACAAGCGAAACAATAAGGTAATAAGGTGATCTCCACTATTTAACACGTGTGCATAAGCAGTCCCATTCGGATTTGGGCCAAAACCAACTCCTCTTTCCGTGATAATTAATAATAATTATGATGGTGTTCTTATATACCGCTTTATCACAATCTATATCGTCTCAAAGCGGTTCACAAAGTAGTATTCGTGGTTATTGGATCGGTGCAACAAGCCAATGTCTTTTCAAACTTCCTGGGGAGCATACAGCCGGTGCTGTCATTTCTGTGCTCACAGCTAGCATTTAACAATTCCAGCATTGCATTTTTTCAGGGTAGGGGACATACAAAAAAAGTCGAAAAGAAGAAAATGAAAACATAATATTGATAAATTCACAGTAAATCCCAACATCGGTTTTCATGATTTAATCATAAATTGCGAAAAATAATGTATTTCCATTTCATGGTATGTCAATTTCACAAAAATGCACAGAGATTTCAGAAACGTCTCACACCAAATCAGCAATGTTTTTCTTTTCTCCTGGAGATTTTTCCGCCTCGATAGGGATGCTGTCCTTGCAGTCCAATTTATGAGAAATTATATTCCAAACATTGGTCACAGAGATGGAAGCACAGAATACGAAAACACATGCGATTACCCAGATGTCGTAGAACTGGGTGTGTTTTACAAAAGTGAATATGTAGTGAAACGGACGCACACCGAGCAAAACGAACACGGAACACATTAGAACGTTCTCGAGGACATCATCCAGTCCACGGCATGCTGTACACTCTACTTCGTGTGCGGCTCGACATTCTTTAAAGACAATGAATCGTCTGTCTGTTGTTCCTCCTACAATAGAAACGTATACAATTTAGGTTTACAAGATACACGAATTTGTATTTGACGTCGCACATTTAAAACAACAAGCAAATTCGTGGAATTTATATCCCCCGCTTGCAGGACATATTGTAAGTTAACATTATTGAGGTTAGGTTTAAACATTTGAGTATCGTGCTGTTGAGTCATAATGTATAACTTGAAATTTGAAGAAGAAAAAAAGCCCTATACCTCATTGATTATCCGTAAATATGCACAAATCACATCGGTTGGCAAACTTAGCATGAGTTGGGTGTGCATAAGGAATTTGGTTGAAACATTTTACAATATCTACAGCAACAAGTACTTATTGTAATGGAAGACCATTACAGATGTCCCCCAAACTGCCCCCTTGGTCGCAAAGATGCATCAGAAAAGGATCGCATTGCCATAGTACAGCTACAATGTACATACTAAATTTGAGTGAAATTGAGCAATTTCTAAATTGCAACCAATCAGAATCCTCTGTGTAGTTGCTATGGCAACGGAACGTATGCGATTGAATTTGCAGTCCCCTAATACCCCTATATACCAATTTTCATCGAGATCAAACAATATCTAAATTGCGACCAATCAGAAGCCTCCGTGTGGTTGCTATGGTAACGAAACTTATGTGGTGGAAATTGCAGTCTCCTTATACCCCTCTATAACGATTTTCATCAAAATCGAACAATATCTGAATTTCCATCAATCAGAAGCCTTCTTGTGGTTGCTATATGATTGCTATGACAACGAAACATATGCGACTGAATTCGCAGTTCCCTTATATCCCTATATACCAATTTTCATCAACATCGAACAATATCTAAATTTCGACCAATCATAAGCCTCAGTGTGGTTGCTATGCTAACGAAATTTATGCGGTTGTATTAGCAGTCCCCTAATGCCCCTATATACCATTTTTCTTAAAAATAAAACAAATATCTAAATTTCGACCAATCAGAAGCGCCTCCATTTAGTTGCAATGGCAACGACACATATGCGGTTGAATTCGCAGTCCCCTTATACCCAAAGATACCAATTTTCATCAAAATCGAACAATATCTTAATTTCCACCAATCAGAAGCCTTTGTGTTGTTGCTATGGCAACGAAACCTATACGGTTGAATTAGCAGTCCCCTAATATCTCTATTTAATACATTTTTGCCAGTGAAATATCATTTTTTTTATCGAAATTGATATCTTTCACAGTGTGAAAATATCACTTTTTAGTATTGACCAATCATAACGGTATCTTCAATTCGCTGCATTCAAAGGCAACGATATTTTGTCACAGATTCACATGAAGCGACGGTAAAATAAGTGGTTGTTATGGTAAATGTTTGGTACACAGACTTAAGTATTAACATATATATACCAGTAATGACATTTTTATAAGCAATCATACCAGAAAATAGCAGAAAACGTCGAAATTGCGTTGAGAATGCCACTCAAAATGGCGCGCAGCCTTGTTGTCAAGCGTGACGTCATTAGAATATGGCGCTAATAATTACGCTTCTGATTCCCGCCCTTTTTTATGCATTAGATTTTTCATGTTTTATGCTTTAAAAATGTAATAAATAGAAAATCCAATGGTGTCTTCAGTAATAACAAATATATTTCACTCGTGTCGCTTATATTTTGATATTTTTCACTCGTGCTGCGCACTCGTGAAAAATAACAAAATATTAGCCACACTCGGGAAATATATTTGTTATTACTGAAGACACCATTAAATATCCTCTATATACCAATTTTCATCAAAATCGAACAATATCTAAATTTCGACCAATCAGAAGCATCCGTGTGGTTGCTATGGTAACGAAACCGATGCGGTTGAATGCGTAGTCCCCTAATATCCCTATATACCAATTTTTCATTAAAATCGAACAAAGTTTGAAAAAAATCGGTTAACATTTGTTGTAGTTATTGCACAGAAACAAAACCCAGCAGATATTTACGTTTTTCGTTATTCAAGGGGCCATAACTCCGCCAAATGGGGTCCACTGAAAGTGGTCATCGAACCTGGCTGAACACTTAAGGCATTTAACACTGTGACCAAGTTTGAAGAAAATCGGTTAACATTTGTTGTATTTATTGCACGGAAACGAAGCGTGACAGACAGACCTACAGACAGACACATTTTAATATCTCCCGTTTCGGTGAAAGCGGGGGATAATAAATAATAGCACTGTAGTGCTATTCTTGCGACAAACATGAGGTATAATAACATCTACATGCAGGTAATTACAAAGGCTAGTTAATGACAGACAAATATCACAGAGGCAGTTTAACAAGTAAACAAGGTACACGAGAAACGCAGCACATGCATGATCAGACAGGTAGCACTAAATAGTAAAATTTGTGAACTGAAAACTTGTATGTCACACAAGTATTTCTAATTAAGGAATAAAGCACCATGACAGTGCAATTTACATATATGCTAATATAGAATATATGTATAAGACTAACACATTTAATAATCAAGGGGGCTTCTGGGATAGAGCACCTTTGGTTCCCGACTTCAGCCAGGTAAGCAGCACTTTTGTAGCTGTCTAAATCCAATGATTTAATTACTCTCTGTCGCCCATATTCGAAAAATATTGGTCTGATATGATTTGTCCTAGAAGGTACAACCCGATTTATGAAAAGTGAAAAAAAAAATATCTATATATTTTGGCTAATAAGTAATAGTAATATGTAAACTGTTTAACCTTATTTTTAACTCTGGAGTGATCCCTGAATCCTGGACAATTGGGATAATAAAACCAATTTATAAGAAAAAGGGTGACCCTAAAGACCGTGATAATTACCGGGTATCACACTGATACGTTGTCTCGGGAAACTGTTTACACATATTTTGAACAACAGGCTTAATGACTACTCAGATAAACATAATATAATCTCTTCTAATCAAGCAGGTTTCCGTAAAGGTCACTCCACGGTTGACAATGTTTTTGTATTGCACACGCTGTTATCTTTATATTTGGCCAGTAACAAAAAAATGTATACGACTTTTATCGATTTTAGAAAAGCGTTTGATACGTTTGGAGAGTAGAACTTTTCAGAAAACTTTATAAAGGCAAAATTAGAGGCAAATGCTTTACTATTATCAAAAACATGTATGAAAATATAAAATCATGTGTAGAATTAAAAAACACAAAGTCTGAGTTATTTTCTTGTCTAGTTGGTGTAAGGCAGGGAGAAAATCTATTCCCTTTTTTATTTTCTATCTACCTTTATGACATGGAAGACTTTTTTAGAGCCAATAGTTCACTTCCATTAGAACAATTGAAAAATAAATTTCAGACTGAGCTGAATATGTGTGTGGATCTTTTTGTCCTGTTATACGCTGACGATACAATTCTTCTTTCTGATTCTGCTGAAGGTTTGCAAAATGCTCTTAACGTTTTTCAGAAATACTGTGATATATGAAAATTAGAAGTTAATGTGAAGAAAACAAAACGTATTCTGTAATCGCAAATCTAATAATAACCATGTATTTAGAATTAACGGTAAAGTTATAGAAGAAGTGGACAATTTTAGCTATCTGGGTGTGACATTTAATTACAATGGTAGCTTTTTGAAATTTAAACGAAAGCTTTGTGAGCAAGCCCAAAAATCCATTTTGTCTGTGTATCGTAATATAAAAATTCAACACCTTCCAATAGACTTGCAACTTAAATTATTTCATACCCTAGTTAGTCCTATATTGTTATATGGATCTGAAATATGGGGTTACGAAAATATCAAAATAGTAGAACAAACTCATTTGAAATTTTGCAGACGAATTTTGGGCCCGATAACTTCGACTCCAAACTTTATGATCTATGGTGAATTAGGTCAATTTCCTCTTGAGATAGCTTGAAATGTATAAATTAATATTATTAATTATTGTAGAGCTTAGAGAAAAATACATTCCTCTGTATTATAGAAAAAAACCGTCTCAAATTAAAATGAGTTGTCTGTTGTCATTTTGTAACACGACAGTATTAAATGGAATTTGTCTTTTGTTGGAAAAAATTAACAAACTGTTGTAATATGTATCATGATTACTGTTTTGTGAACTTGCCATCCATTTTTATCATCACATGTGTATTATTATACTCCGATACCTCATGTTGTACATTTTAATGTATCTGAGGAAAAACAATAAACGTGTAAACAACAAACAAAGCTAATAAGTGGATCTAATTAGTGGGAAGGACCCATATTAAAATCAGTTTAAATAATAATTAATAAGCACTAAGTAATTAAAGAACTTAATGTATTTTCATGTTTTCACATATAGGGTTGACATGATTTACCCTAGCAGGTGCAACCCAATTCTTGAAAAAGTGAAAAGAATATCTATTTATATTCTACGCTAATTAGCGGATTTAAATAGTGGAAAAGGTTTATATTAGAGTAAGTTTGAAATTTAAATAATTAACACACAGTAATTAATGAATTTAATATATTCTTCATGTTTTCACATATTGGCACGCTACCTGGGTATTGCAAGCAATTTTTGTATTGCAATATTTAAGCAAATATTACAATATATTCCAAATTTATGATTTTATACAACAGGCGAAGATACGTTAATTGGAAAATGATTTCATACCGTTTCGGAAGATATCACACGAAGCATGCTGCATTTGGATAAAACTGATTGAAATGTTAATGTTATATATGTACAAATATTTAAAAAAAAAAATGTTTAAACCCTTAAACAACTAATTGAAAACATATTGCAGTATATTGCCATTTCAAAATCGTATTGCAATATGTTGGTACTGCAATATTATTGCCCAATCTTACATTTAAAATCATTTAATTATATGATCTTATTTGTCAAGCTCAAACTGACTAGTTAAATTGATTTTTATTGAATTGATGTTACATTGCCTTTTCTTGTATGTGTTCCACAATATCACAATTACCTCATTTTGAAAGCTAAATTGATTTGACCGAGTCTAGGACTGAAACACATGAGGGCGCGGACAAAATGCACAATACCATAGTGCGCTTACATATAATATTTCAAATTCGCAGTCATCAAAGGTAGATACATACATATTGTACGTAATCATAAATCATGTATTTTAACACTGAAATAGTGCTCAGCGTACCGTACACGCCACAGGGACCTTGGAATTTGTTACACGTTTTAGGGGTTTAGATCGAATTTAAAAGAATTCCACACCCATTGATTATATATATATATACGAGAAGGATGGAAACTTTTCTATGTCGAATTCGGCGGCCATTTTAAAAATGTGTATTCTTGCGCTTTACCAAAGGCCAAAATTACACTTTTTTGACACCAGATTGATCACTTGAATAGTCATTGTGTCACCTTTTTAAATGTAGCAAATTCAATTTTGCTGCATAACTTAATAATGTTCAATATGATGAAAATGATAGAAACAAAGAGGAAATTTATATATGTTTGGTAATTTTATTTTGCATGTTTAATGTAACTGAAGCACTTTTGATTTTTAAGGTGAAAAATAACACAAATAATAATGGAACAAAAAAAAAGAACAACACGGACCCCAAGTTTGTGTGATCGTTTTGAAAGAGAAACCCATTTTTCTTTCAATCCATTTAATATTTAAAATAGATTAGTTAAGAAGCTGAACTTTTTATATCAAGCGTTAACCTGCAAATTTTATTTTTAATTTAAGGGGTATCGTAAATCGCTTTTCTGAGTTAAGAGTATAAGTTGAAGATTTTTGTTTCTTTTGTGATTTTAAAGAGAAATACTTTTTTTATCAATTCTGCAAACATTCATCCCTAATTGATTACACACGGGGAAGATATAGTATTTAAAATTGTTCTTCAAATGATCGAAACAAAAACAAATCAACGAAAAACACAAAATGTTAAATTGGTATCTTTGACCGATCTTTGCACAAAAACGAACAAACGGGCACTTAATTCTTTTTTCATTTCCTACTATGTCCTTAACTCCTTTTCCAAAAATGCATGTAATGTAAGAAGAACCTTAAATACAGGATTGTTTTGACTTTTCAGCGGAGCATATCCCTAAGCTTATTTTTGTGATTAAGTGATTTACCTGTTTTCTTGTAAAAAGCCACCAATAACATTCCAATAGACGGTCCGAACAGACAAACTGTCTCCAGGAATATGGGCAGGAACTGACTTCTTGCATCCTGTGAGCAAACAACTAACTGGAAACTATCCGAGGCTGTTTTGAATGAGAATATTTCGTGATTGACCGATGTTTTTAATGCGTACAAAAGGGCAATAGTGCCTATCAAGAGTACAACATATAACAATACACCACATTTGACGGTAGTCTGACGCTTCCACGACACATTCTGTCTCACGGACGCTAACAACAGCGACATGCATATCACACCGTAATGAACTAGCGCCATCAACCTGAGATCAGCACATCTGAAGTCAGGGAAGCTCTGATCATTGTTCGATGATTTGACCGTTACTGTTGTAGTATTTGGTACTTTGTTCCCCTGCAGAATTTTAGCATTTTTCCGGTTTGAATATCCTCCCGCTGTAATTTCCTCGTTTTGTTTCCGGTACACCAGCACATCTCCATGCAAGTTGGTTGACATGGCTTTTGTGTAAGCCGTATGTTTGTTAAATCTGAAATCGTTGGCGCTACCGCTGTCGCTACGACTTCCTGTCAACGAATCGGAAACATTACCTGCAAGATAGCTGTAGTGTTGTCTGACATCCATAAATCCGGTACGATAGGGCGCTACCAAATACACCGTTTGTAACGATGTGCCTACCACCATACACACGATTATTAGCAAACGATTCTTGCATCGCTGTCGAATGGCATTGATCACCGTAACTATGGCTATTGCATAGAGCAAGAAGACCACTAAAGCCTGAATAACGTCATACATTGTGCCGAGAAAGTAAAACAGAGTGTCTGTCCCGCTATGAGTATCCGTCGACATCTTGTCACTGACTGGGGTGTTTATTTCAAGTCGTCGCTACACATGTAGCGTGTGACTGCTCATGTGTATCGGACCACGAATCAATCACCCAATCGCAGATCACTCGCTCACCCAGTAGCTGTGTTTCACTCCGTGAGTACAGTTGTACTGTAGGAAAATAAATCGATGAATAGGAAATAATGCATGTACAGTTTATTTTCTATACCACGGAAAAACTCAAGTCCATGCAATGTCTATACTACGCGCTGATTTCATATCAGAGCTTTTTCGCTCAGATTCTTTTTATTCACATACATCTTCTGAAATGCAACAAATTTGTTTGGACAAAAACAATTGAACAAATGGAATAGACAAGAGGCTTATACTAAATATGTCTTCTCCTAGCCGGTATTCCGTCTTTGCGTATTGCAGAGTTATCTTCTCTTGGGAGCAGGTAGTGATTGTTACGTCACTTGTTTGTGAGAGTAACGTCATCAATTTTAGAGAATACGACTTAATTTTATCACACAAACCAATGACGTAACAATCAATACCTGCTCCTAAAGGAAGATAACTCTGAAATACGCAAAGACGGAAAAGATGATATCAAGTTTATGCTATTGATAAATATCCTGTGCAAACAAATGAACATTTTTTTAAGTATTGTGGACTTAATTCGCCCTGAAGGTTTAAAAACCTCTCAGATAGTTGAAGTATTTGTCAAACAGGAGCCAATATATGATTGAATGATTTAAACACTAATATCATTTTAGAAAAGTAAGTATAGAACATTGGCAGGATTAATGATGTGTTAAATATACAACTTACGAACCAGATTGAACTTAATAATTGTGTAAGTAACCTATGTAATATTTTTAACAATTGCACTTTGCCATATTGTCATGTCAAAGTCAACGATAACTGCCATGTAGATAGTTACCCTAACAACAAGGTTAAACAGAACAAGCCTTAGGATACAGATGAATGTAAAAAGTTGTACATTGTTTACAAAAGTGCTCTTCGCGTTTTAAACAATTGTTAATCAAATACTTATCATGCAAGTATTGTTGGTGCGAAACGCAGACATAAAAAAATGGAATTCCGATTAAAACGACAGTGCAAATGTCTCGAAGGAGATATGTTACATTTACTTAAAAGGTCAAATCCGAAACAATTGTCAATTTTTTTTCCAAAAGCAGAAGTAAGGAAAGGTTTTCGACAAGTTTAACAATGAAATTCTTTTCACACATTTAAAAACACTTTTTACAGATGATAATACTGATGTAACTCAAAACAGTAATGATTGAATTGATAACAAATCTGTAGATGATGAACTCGACAAGGTTATTACTAAAGATGAAATAACAAAGGCCATTTGAGATTAAAACCTTATAAAAGTGGTAGTGAAGATTTAATAGTAAATGAACTTTTTATCAAAGGCTAAGATATGCTGATGCCTTGTTTAGAACGTTTATTCAATTCTATTTTTAAATCAGGGGTTTTCCCGGAATCTTGGTCAGAAGCTTGCATAGTACTAATTTACGAGAAAGGTGACATAAATGATCACAATAATTATCGAGGTATTTCTCTCGTCAGTTGTTTTGGAAAACTCTTTACGAGCATTTTGAACAACAGAATTTTATTTTGGGGAAAAAGAATATAGTGTTTTAACTGATGCTCAATTTGGATTCCAATCGGGTTTATCAACTTTTGATGCTATTTTTGTTTTACAAACGCTTATAAATAAGACCTTTCAAAACAAAAAGAGGCTTTATTGTTGTTTTATAGATTTTCGTAAAGCTTTTGATTTTATTGACAGAAGCAAATTGTGGGGCAAACTTATAAATATTGGAATCCGAAATATTTTCTACAAATATTCTTTATATCGTAATGTTAAGTCATTTGTTAAATTTAATGGAGTTTTTAGTGAGCACTTCTGTAATAAGTCGGGTCTTTTACAGGGAGAAGTTCTGTCTTCAAATTTCATTTTATTTGTACAATGATTTTGAAATAAGTTTTATAAACAATAATAGTGCAAGCCTTGAACTCCATCTGATTAATATTTTTTCCACTTATGTACGCCGACGATATGGTTTTGATGTCAGAAACACATGAAGGCTTGCAATCAATGCTGAATTGTTTAAATAATTATACAAAGGAATGGAACTTAAAAGTTAATCTATGACCGTATTGGTTATTCTAATTCAACCCTGTTAACTGCAGATGATAATACCCTGTCGGATGATAGTAATGAACTTATTTTAACTAATGTCCAATGCTATATTTTTAGATGGTACTGAACGATTTAAGAGATTATAATATAATAATTGAATAAATGAAATCTAATGAAGACCTCTATCATTGAACAGTTTGGATAGTATGTATATCACTATGACATCTTTTGTAGTAACTTTGTAATAATGTACCGTAGAGTACTTTCTTACTTAGGCTGAGTACACATCTTATATAGATGTGTTGTATGTGTGAGGGTATGTGTAAGGGTGTGTGTGTGACATGTAGGCATGTGAGTCTGTACAAAATTGAGTAGATGTTTATATATTTAATTATTATACATTACCCGAAGTAATCATTCTACTCTCTGAAGGTTTGTGTAATACTACCATCAATGCTTTCATGTTAAAATCTATTCCTCTTTATATATATTTGGCTTGTATATATGTGGTACCTATTTAAGAGGACGTATATAGGCTTGCCTGTTGTCCAATCAAATTGTTTTCTAAACAATAAAATGTGTTGAAATGAAACTTAGAAGTTAATATTGACAAATCCTATAGTAGTTGTTATTAGAAATGGCGGGAGACTTAAAAATAACGAAGTGTGGTATTATTTTTCATTTCAACAAATTTTATTGACAGATGTTATAGTCAAATGGATTGAATAACAGGCAAGCCTATATAAATTCTTTCCATGAGTGGCTCAAAATTTGATCATATATACAATGTAGTTACAACAATAATGATTAATTAATTTAAGGATACTTTGAAATGAAAAAGTATAAAGAGTGATACTAATTAAAGGATAAGGGGAGATAACTCCAACATGACAAACACAAAGGGGATAAATTCATCATAGGACATCACAATAACAATACACAAACAACTCACAATCATACATCCAACTAACATACAATTATTTTCTTATTAAATAGTCACAGTCAGTATATCATATGTACAGTAAGAGTAGACTTTGACCAAAAGTCCATATGCATTTATGTGCACAGGTCATTGCTACTAATACTGTGTATGAGTAAAAAGTACAAATTTAAATAATGTGACAGAAAGGCAATATAATATTATGAACAAGATATAACAAACCTACTCAACTGTAATATCATTTATCATTATGCATCAAAAAGTTTATACTTTGGTATTCCATTAACAATTCTATCTAGATAATACATCGTGGCTTTCTACGTCATATACAAATTAAAACGCCTAGTTTTCCCAATAAATATCTGAATATGACTTAGCATCTGTCTGTTTATATTCAGATCACATGCAGGACAACCTTGAGAAAATATATTTAAATCCATATGGTTATGATTACTAATATTATTCAAAGAAGTAAACAAAGTATTTCGTTGTTCGATATACAGTGGACAATTGACGAAATAATGAGAGGCTGTTTCATATTCAAAAGAACAAGCACAAGTTGGACTATCTATTAAATGGTCACGATATAAATCAGAATTTAAATTACTACAGGAATTTCTTAATTGGCAAAGAATAATATTTACCATTCTTTCACCGTCGTTTTTAAAAATTGAAGCTACTTCTCTGTCCTTAACTTTATCTTTATTTTGTATTTTTTTAAACAGAGCAAGAGATGGAGAGTTCAACATATCAGTATCCATAGTGTTGACATCGCGGCACATAAAGGGGAAAACTGTCAAAATAGTTATTAGTTCTACACATAGGTGGGTTAAAGAGTCTGGTTTGTCTAAGAGAGTAGGGATTGTTATTATGATTGTTAATAAAAAGATTTGTGACATTTTGCAAGTATTGAGGTGAGAGTCCATGCATTATCTTATACATCATTATTTGTTTATGTTTATACCTTCTTGCAGACAGTGTTTCCCAGCCAAGTTCATTATATAGTTTATTGTGTGATGTCCCTGAACGAAGACCAGTTATAATCCTAGCTGCTTATAGTTGTACAGATTCAAGAAGTTCAATAGATTGTAAGGTGCAATTATCCCATACAATGTCTGCATACTCCAAAATTGGTCTAATAAATGCAATATATAATTTAATTTACGATTTACGAAGTGTGGTATGATAACGATCAACAGTTAGAGATAGTAGACGAATTCAAATATCTAGGCATGCTTTTCAACTACAATGTTAAATGTCTAAAAACACAAAAACATGTTGCAGATCAAGGTAGAAAAACACTGTTTTCCTAAATGTCAACACTACGTAATCATTGTTTAAATATTGAATCCCAGTGCTCTGTTTTTTAACTCTTACGTTAATAGTATTTTGTGTTATGCTTCCAAGATCTGGGGTTTCCACAAATCACCCGATGTAGCAAAAGTACATCTCAATTTTTGTAAGAAGTTGTTAGGAGTTCGGAAAAATTCTTGCAATGATTTGGTTTATTGTGAGTTAGGTATTTTTCCTCAAATAGTACAAAGAAAATTGAGGATTTTTAGACACTGGCTTAAGCTGAAACAGAGTGACAATTGTATATTAAAATCATATTATGATGAATGTGTTAATGTAAATGATGGCTGGATAGTTAATATTAAGCATGAGTTGTCTAGTATTGGTTTGGAATATATGTTCGAAAACAACCTACCTGTTAATGTTGCTTTTAAGATTATAGAACAAAGAACTTTAGTTAATTGTCGACAGAAGATGATAGCAAATTCATCAAGGTCATCTACAGGTTATTTATACCAGCACCTTGTTGATAATGTTTGTCTTCGATTTTACTTATGTAAATGTATAGAACCTAAGTACAAACGCATTATTACATGTTTTAGAATGTCGTCTCATAATTTAAATATTGAAGTGGGTAGACGGAACAATGT